GGCCTCAGTGATCCATCTGCCTGGGACTTCCAAAGTGCTGGATTATAGGTCTTGAGCCCCATGCCCGCCACCGAGGTTTTTTGAACTGTTTTTTTTCTTTTAAAGATGGAGTTTCACTCTTGTTGCCCAGGCTGGAGTGCAATGGCGCAATCTTGGGCTCACCGCAACCTCTGCCTCTGGCGTTTAAGTGATTTCCTTGCCTCAGCCTCCTGAGTAGCTGGGATTTACAAGGCATGCACCACACCGTCGCCTGGCTAATTTTGTATTTTTAGTAGAGATGGGGGGTTCTCCATGTTGGTCAGGCTGGTCTCGAACTCCTAACCTCAGGTGATCTGCCCGCCTCGGCCTCCCAAAGTGCTGGGATTACGGGCGTGAGCCACCGCCGCCCAGCCGGTTTTTGACCTTTTAAAAGATGGGCTTCTTGTGGTCCAGGCCCATGTGTGAGATGGGCCAGGTGCTAGTGGCAAGTCTAGTGGTTGCTATCCCCTTTTTAGATGCATGGCACAGCTGCCTACTGAAAGGTAGGGGGTTGGCAGCATAGCAGGCACCTCAGTCCTCATTAATTAGAGGCTGAGCTATTGGATTTCTGGCTGATGGCCAAGTGGAAAATGTATTTAACTTTATTTTTTTATTTTAAAATGTATCTGTGTGGATAGACTCAGGCAGGAGATTTGTCTTTGGCTTTGTTAGAAGAATCTAGCTCTGGTGTCTTGCTTCTCCTCCCACTAACTGTAAAAGTCACCACTGAGGCTGGGTGTGGTGCCTCACGCCTGTAATCCCAGCACTTTGGGAGGCCGAGGCGGGTGGATCACCTGAGGTCAGGAGTTCGAGACCAGCCTGGCTAACATTGCGAAATCCCGTCTCTACTAAAAATACAAAAATTAGCCGGGTGTGGTGGTGGGCACCTGTAATCCCAGCTACTTGGGAGGCTGAGGCAGGGAAATCACTTGAACCTGGGAGGCAGAGGTTGCAGTGAGTCGAGATTGCACTGCTGTACTCCAGCCTGGGTAACAGAGTGAGACTCTGTCTCAAAAAAAAAAAAAAGTTGCCATTGAATCCTCCTAAGAAGATATACAATACAATAGCCAATAAGCACATGAAAAAGATGGTTCAATATCACTTATCATTAGAGAAATGAAAATGAAACCCATAATGAGATATGTCCATTAGGATGACTACTGTCAAAAAACAGAAAATAGCAAGCATGGGTGAGGATGTGGAGGAATTGGAACTCTGCTGCACTGTTGGTGAGCATGTCAAATGGTGCAGCTGTTGTGGAAAACAGTATGGCGGTTCCTTAAAGAATTAAAAATAGGGCTGGGCACGGTGGCTCATGCCTGTAATCCCAGCACTTTGGGAGGCCAAGGTGGGTGGATCACTTGAGGCTGGAAGTTCGAGACCAGCCTGGCCAACACAGTGAAGCCCTATCTCTACTAAAAATACAAAAATTACCTGGCGTAATGGTGCGCGCCTGTAATCACAGCTACCTGAGAGGCTGAGGCAAGAGAATCACTTGAACCCAGGAGGGGGAGGTTGCCGTGAGTCGAGATTGTGCCACTGCGCTCCAGCCTGGATGACAGAGAAGACTTTATCTCCAAAAAGAAAAAGAAGAAGAATTAAAAATAGAATAACCTAATGCTATTGCATTTCCACACTTCTGGGTGTATATCCCGAAAAATTGAAAGCAGGGTCTGGAAGGGATAAACACCCATGTTCATAGCAGCATTATTCATAATAGCCAAGAGGTGGAAGCAACTCAAGTGTCTCTCCATGGGATGGATGAATAAACAAAATGCGGCATATCTATATAATAGAATGCTATTCAGCCTTAACAAGGAAGGAAAGTATGACACCTGCTACCACGGGAATGAAACTTGAGCGCATTATGCTAAGTGAAATAAGCCAGTTGCAAAAAGACAAATACTTTCACTTACATGCGGTATCTAGAGTCCTCAAATTCATAGAGACAGAAAGTAGAGTGACAGTTGCCAGGGGCTGTGGGACTGGGGAGTTGCTGTTTAATGGGTGCAGAGTTTCTGTTCTGCAAGATGGAAAGAGTTTGGAAGATGGATGTTGGTGATGGTTGTATAACAGTGTACTTACTGCTGCCCTGTACATTTAAAAATGGGTAAGATGGGCTGGGAGCAGTGGCTCACGCTTGTAATCCCAGTATTTTGGGAGGCTGAGGTGGCAGAGCACCTGAGGTTGGGAGTTCGAGACCAGTCTGACCAACATGGGGAAGCCCCGTCTCTACTAAAAGTACAAAATTAGCTGGGCGTGGTGGCTCATGCCTGTAATCCCAGCTATTCGGGAGGCTGAGGCAGGAGAATCGCTTGAACCCAGGAGGCAGAGGTTGTGGTAAGCCGAGATCGCGCCACTGCACACCTGCCTGGGCAACAAGAGCAAAACTGTCTCAAAAAATAATAAGAATAATAAAAATAAATAAATAAAATAAAAGGGTAAGATGAAAAATGTTATGTTATCCATGTTTGTTTGACCACAATTACAAATAAACATTTCTTTTTTTTAAAGGAACAAAAACTCACTATTAAGCCCTCACCCCTCTGCTTCCCGTGTCTGTGGCTTCGTATCCAGCAGTGAGCACGGCCAGAGGGAGCCTCCCCGTCTCAGCCAGTCCTCCTCCCTTTCGGAAGCCCTGCCTTATCCCTCAGGGGGGGCCTCTTGCCCCTACTAACATGTGCTTAAGAAAGCTTTTAATCTCATTTATGGGGTCAACGTCTACAAGCTAAATTATTTTAGCCAAGGACTATTCAGTGTGATGTTACATTTTGGGCTGTGTTTTTATTGCTTGGTCAAATAGAGAACAAGGGCCACCTCTCGTCACGCCAGCCCGACGCTCCTGCAGCCCTGTGAGACTGAGAGTTGTTTTCCTGGTCGTGGTGACAGATGAGCCATGCATGACTCACTGGAGCGGTCTCCCCCGAAACAAAGGCATGCATTTGACTGCAGACTGGGTGTTGAGTCGGTGGCCTTTGCAAGACTGGATGGGCAGTTCTGGCTTCAGATGACCCTGATGAATCACACGGTTCACAGACGTTTCACTTATTACCTTGACAGTGACCCTGGACACCAGTTGTTTCTTCTTATAATTTGTGTTAAACCTTCCTTTTGACTTTGTGGGAGCTTGGAGTAAAACGCTTCACAGAGGTTTCTTGCATTTCTGTTTTTCAGGCTCACTTCATGGACTCACTTTGCGTGCTTGTTAAATGTGCTGCGTTGCTCCCAAGACCATGTAAAGCCTACTGACCACTAATCTCCCTCAGAGCAGAAACTAGACTTCAGGTAAACCCAACCCATGTGCCTTGGGGGTCATGTCAAGTTGCATGACTGTGATTAAGGTAATAAGTAAAGATTTAATTATTTGGGCTACTGGTTTTGATTTTAAAATATTTGATAATTACCACCAAAGAAAAGTCAATCCATTTAACTTCTGTTTTGTGGCTACACATTCTTAGATATAAAAGAATTAAAAATAAACAGCCTACTAAATATATTTGGAGACTTCACCAGAAGAGCACCACTTCCAACTGACCTAAAATAGTGATATACTGGTTTGAGTGAGAAACTAGCTGGATATGGTGGACTGTGCCTGTAGTTCCAGCTACGTGGGAGGCTGAGGCAGGAGAATCCCTTGAGCCCTGGGGTTTGAAACCGGCCTGGGCAACATAGCAAGATCCCACCTCAAAAATATTATTTCAGAATCAAAAGAGATGGTTTCTTCTTTCCTCCCTCCCTCCCTCCTTCCCTCTCCCCCTTTTCACTTTGAGTTTGGCTTAAATAATAGACTCCTTGAGCAAACTGGGGTTTTTACAAGGAAGTAAGAGTCTAAATTAAATTTTTCTGATGCCCTTATTCTAAGTCAGCTTCATACTTAGTTCTCTCATCATATTCTAAAGCGAAGACACCTGAAGTCTTTAGAAAAGCTCTAGAGATTAGTTTTATTAAAATGTTTTCCTTTCCCAAATGAGAGCTCTTATTTTTTCCCCCATTTTTCATCTCAGCCTCATTTTTGAGGACTTGCAGCCGTTTTTCTTTTGTGGTATTCCTAGAGCCCCAACAGAGCCTGGCACTTGGTGTCATGTTATAAAAATATGGTAGTTTTTGAGCAAAAATCTCTCAAAATACTATGGAGAGATGTTAGCTCTACCAGTAGTTTATGTACAATGAAAATGTATCTCTCTGATCACTGAAATCTATGTATTTAGACTGACAGAATAAAGATACTTTCCCTGATTTTTCTCTTCAAGAATCATTAATTTGATCTGGTGTGGTGGCTTACACCTGTGATGCTAGCACTTTGGGAGGCCGAGGCAAGAGAATCTCTTGAGCTCAGGAGTTCAAGACCAGCCTGGAGCAACAGAGCAAGACCCTATATCTTTTTTAAAAAAAAAAAAAAAAAAAAAAAAAAAGCCTGAGTTTGAGCGTGGTAGCACGTGCCTATAGTCTCAGCTGCTTGGGAAGCTAAGGCAGGAGGATCACTTGAGCCTAAGAAGTCGAGGCTGCAACGAGCTCTGACTGCAGCACTGCACTCCAGCCTGGATGATAACAGTGAGACCCTGTCTCAGAAAAACAAAAACCAAAAAACAAAAAAAAATCATTAGTTCAAAGTCTCCCAATACCTGAAGCAGATCTTTCTCATAAGCTGATTTTTATGCCTGCTCAACTTCTAAATTAATATTGTCTAATGAATAATGTCTTTAAAATAACTAGCAGACAAGTGTGCAGTGTTGTCTGTCTAGCTAATGAGCAGCCTCTCAAAATAAGGAGAGCCTGTTCTACTGACTGACTCTTGTCCCTACTCCTTTGAGTCCTTCCAGGCACTAAAGTTGCTGTGTAATATGCAGCACATTCTTTTTAAAAGTTCTGTCATAATGGAGTGTAATTTAGGCCACGGTCTTACTGATGCAACTGTTCTTAATTTAGGTTAAAATGGGCAACTCCGAGAGTCAGTACACCCTTCAAGGATCTAAAAATCATAGCAATACTATCACTGGTGCTAAGCAAATTCCTTGCTCCCTGAAAATACGTGGGATTCATGCAAAAGAGGAAAAGTCATTGCATGGATGGGGTCACGGAAGCAGCGGAGCAGGTTACAAGTCCAGGTCCCTGGCCCGAAGCTGCCTTTCTCACTTTAAGAGTAACCAGCCTTACGCATCCAGACTCGGTGGCTCCACGTGCAAGGTCTCCAGAGGCGTTGCCTACTCCACGCACAGGACAAATGCCCCAGGGAAGGATTTCCAGGGCATCAGTGCTGCTTTCTCAACTGAGAACGGCTTCCACTCTGTTGGCCATGAGCCAGCAGATAACCACATCACCTCCAGAGACTGCAACGGACACCTTCTCAACTGCTACGGGAGGAATGAGAGCGTTGCCTCCACCCCGCCGGGCGAAGACCGCAAGAGCCCCAGAGTGCTCATCAAAACGCTGGGGAAGCTGGATGGGTGTTTAAGGGTCGAGTTCCACAATGGTGGCAACCCCAGCAAAGTGCCTGCAGAGGACTCCAGTGAGCCGGTGCAGCTGCTGAGGTACTCACCTACCTTAGCATCAGAAACCTCCCCAGTGCCTGAAGCCAGGAGGGAGTCCAGCGCCGATTCCCTGCCCAGCCATCGCCCCTCTCCCACGGACTCTCGCCTGCGGTCCAGCAAAGGCAGCTCCCTGAGTTCTGAGTCATCCTGGTACGACTCCCCTTGGGGCAACGCTGGAGAGCTGAGCGAGGCTGAGGGCTCCTTCCTGGCCCCCGGCATGCCTGACCCCAGCCTCCATGCCAGCTTCCCACCTGGTGATGCCAAAAAGCCTTTCAACCAAAGCTCTTCCCTCTCCTCCCTTCGGGAACTGTACAAAGATGCCAACTTGGGGAGCCTGTCCCCCTCAGGTATCCGTCTTTCTGATGAATACATGGGCACGCACGCCAGCCTGAGCAACCGCGTCTCTTTTGCCTCTGACATTGATGTGCCCTCCAGGGTGGCACACAGGGATCCCGTCCAGTACAGTTCCTTCACTCTCCCCTGTCGGAAGCCCAAAGCCTTAGTTGAGGATACTGCAAAGAAGGACTCCCTCAAAGCCAGGATGCGACGGATCAGTGACTGGACGGGAAGCCTCTCAAGGAAGAAAAGGAAACTCCAGGTGAGTGTACCTTAGAGCAGAGGGAAGGGTCCCCACAGTTTCCCCATCTGGAGAAGGGGAAGGTTAGTAGAAGCCACCATAGAGTGTTGTCGGGGTGCTTAAATGATCTGGCAAAAGTGAAGAGTTCAGTGGAAAGCCTGGCTTATCTCATTTTCAGGTGTGGGTTTGTTTTTTCTTTTGCTTCAGATATTTTCACTTTTAGCTGACAACTTTAATCTTCCCGTGTCTTAGTCAGCTTGGGCTGCAAACAAAATACCACAGACTGGGTGGTTAATCAACAGACATCTATTTGTCATAATTCTGGAAGTCAGAGGTCAGAGTACCAGTGTGGTCCAGTTCTGGGGAGGGCTCTCTTCCTGGCTTCAGACGGCCGCCTTCTTGCTGTGTCCTCACACAGCAGAGAGAGCGGGAGGTCTAGGCTCCTTTCTTCTTCTTATAAGGACCCTAATCCCATTATGGGAACTCTACCCTCTTGACCCCCTCTAAACCAATTACCTTTCAAAGGTGTCAGTCAAATACCATCCACTGGTAGTTAAAGCCTCAACATGGATTTTGGGGAGGGGGGAAACAAATGTTCAGTCAATAGCATTCTGGTTCTGTGTATGTCCCCACACTCTTGCCTGCACTCCACAGGCCTAATCTTAAGACTTGGCCATAGCCGGGCATGGCAGCTCACGCCTGTCATCCCAGCACTTGGGGATGCCAAAGCGGGCAGATCACTTGAGACCAGGAGTTTGAGACCAGCCTGGCCAACATGGCAAAACCCTGTCTCTACCCAAAATACAAAAATTAGCCTGGCGTGGTGGTGGGTGCCTGTAGTCCCAGCTACTTGGGAAGCTGAGGCAGGAGAACCACTTGAACCTGGGAGGCAAAGGTTGCAGTGAGCCGAGATCATGCCTGGGCAACAGAGACTCTGTCTTTAAAAAAAAAGTAAGTAGAGTTGGAGAGAATTCCTGAAATAATTGGTTATCTGAGAATTTTACTAGACTTCATTCTTACAATCCAAACAAAACAGATGAGATTGTCATTATTTTTGGTTGAGTAGGCATGTTAAATTTGATATTACTCTGATTAAATTAAAATTTCTATGCTTAAGTTGGTACATCAAAAAAAAAAAAGTTGATGATATATCTACAGTGTAATCTTTTTTTTTTTCTGAGACAGAGTATTGCTGTGTTGCCCAGGCTGGAGTGCAGTGCAGTGGTGCGATCTTGGCTCACTGCAACCTCTGTTTCCTGTGTTCAAGCGATTCTGCTGCCTCAGCCTTCCAAGTAGCTGGCATTACAGGTGTGCACCACCATGCCCGGCTAATTTTTATATTTTTAGTAGAGACGGGGTTTCACCATGTTGGCCAGGCTGGTCTGAAACTCTTGACCTCAGGTAATCCTCCTGCCACGGCCTCCCAACGTTCTGGGATTACAAGCATGAGTCACCACGTCCGGCCTCTGTGTGTAATCTTCACCTCCTCATGGAGATAGCTAACGGCATCCTGAAAATATCTTGTACCTAAGTGCATGTAATAGAAAAATATATATACTGATAAAACTGATAAAATAAGAATCGTGTATATACTTCTGTATCATGGCGTGTAGAGTTTGACTGGGGGAGCAAAGCGGCTTATCCACCAGGAAGAAAAGTGATAGTTTGCCTTTTTAGGTAACTAGAGGCGATTGCTAGATTTTCAGTTTGTTGCTGTTTTGTTACATGTTTTTATTTTTTATTTGTAGAGGGGAGAAGCTTCTTTTAAAATTACTCTGTATAAATACTGGAGTTGAAGGGAATTTGTGTGGGCAATTAGTCTCTAGCAAAATTGCATCCTAGACAGACAGAAAATTATAAAATTATATTAATTATATGGAGATTTAGGGTGGAAAATAATATAACTTTTTTGAGTAGATTGCTTCAGATTTAAAAGTTTGACATTCATTACTTCCTTCTGATGCATAGTGTGTCTGCCTCCACCACCCCCTCCTGTGCTGGGCTTGGGTTCTCCCTCCTCCTCCTTCACACAGAGATGAAGAACAGACGATCAGCATCCTGTTTTCAGGACCTCTTCATGTCCCTGAATACATTGTAGTAATTTGTATAGTGATTTTACTCCTGGATCATCACTTTTTCAGACTAAACCACGAAATAGTAGAGATTTCCTTGACTCTTTTCTCTCAGTTCCCATTTCCTAAACAACTGATCCCAGCTGAGCATAATGGAAGACGCAGCTTCTGCTTACTTGAGGGCGCAGTCCCAGGTGGACAACGTCCACACCTTTTTGATTCAAGTGTCATGGTGCCGACCTGTGTTCAGCTGTCATCTACTGTGTCCCCTAGTTGGTGGTGGCATCGAGCCAATGATCTGCACCTCTTATGTGCACTCAGTGTGTTGCTCATCTGTGTATGTGGCCTGGCTACACGTGACTCTGCGAAGCCTCCTGCAGTGTCAGTTCCCACTCGGTTCAGAAGTAGACCAGTTGCTGCTGTGTATGAATCATTCTATCATGGGCCGAGTGACCCTCCTTGCCTCTCCTGCCCACGGGAACTGGGTCTCCTTCAATTCTGCATTGTCCAACAACTTAACTCTGAACTGTGTGCCTGTAGAGTTAAAAACAAACTGGTTAGGGCTGGGTGCGGTGGCTCACGCCTGTCATCCCAGCACTTTGGGAGGCTGAGGCAGGCGGATCACTGGAGGTCAGGAGTTTGAGACAAACCTGGCCAACTTGGTGAAATCCCATCTCTAATGAAAATTAGCTGGGCATGCTGGCATGTGCCTGTTAGTCCCACTACTTGGGAGGCAGAGGCAGGAGAATGGCTTGAACCCGGGAGGTAGAGGTTGCAGTGAGCTGAGATCACACCAGCGCACTCCAGCCTGGGCAACAGAGTGAGACTCCATCTCAACAACAAACAAACAAACAAGCAAACAAACAAACAAACTGGTTAGAATCAAAGAATTAGAATTTTATTATTTATTTTGTTTTTTGAGAGAGTCTAGCTCTGTTAAAAAAAAGTACCTGCTTAGCAAATTTTAATCATAGAATATATTATTATTCACTGTAGTCACCATAATTGACCTTAGCGCTCCAGAACTCATTCCTTCTGCAATGCTGAAGCTTTGTACCCTTTGAGCAGCACCTTCCCATTTCCCTCTCTTGCCCCTGGCAACCACCATTGTACTCTCTGCTTTGATGAGATGGACTATTTCATATTCCACGTATAAGTGGAATCTTGCAGTACATGTCTTTCTGTAGAGTGACATCCCTGAGTTTTTACTCTTTTTTTTTTTTTTTTTTTGAGATGGAGTCTCACTCTTGTTGCTCAGGCTGGAGTGCAGTGGCGCCATGTCGGCTCACTCAAGCGATTCTCCTGCCTCAGCATCTGAGTAGCTGGGATTACAGGCATGCGTCACCACGCCCGGCTAATTCTGTGTTTTTAGTAGAGACAGCGTTCTCCACGTTGGTCAGGCTGGTCTTGAACTCCCGACCTCAGGTATCCACCTGCCTCGGCCTCACAAAGTGCAGGGATAACTGGTGTGAGCCACCGCGCCTGGCCTAAGTTGCTACTCTTGAGTCTTTACTCATCTCCACTCCGCTGTACTGCCCTGGTCATCAAGTTACATTAGTCCTTGTTTCTGATTATTCGATTTGGTGGAAGTGAAGTCATTTGTATGGAAATGGAAATCATATGATTTGTGTATATATATAGCAGCCACCTTAGTTTCATCCACGTAACACAGTGATTAAGAATTCTTGCCGAACCTATTTAAAGACGTTCTATATTTTTTAAAGGCTCTTTTTTATTAGCCTGAAAATTAGTCACTGGCTATTAGGATTCTAGATAAAAAGATTTAGAAATTTATTAGAGACTGGGAGAGTTCATACTATGTATAAGAATCAGTTATAAATGCTAAAATGCATTCCCCCCACCCCCGCCATTTCTGACAAAGTAAAATCCTTGCTTTGCTGTGGTTAGACATGTAAAAGTTGGCACTGTAACTTGAGAAGCAGTGTCAAGAGTGTGTGTAGGTCACACTTAACTTTGGGACTTTTGTGCCTTTCTCTGGCAGAGTTGTGCTTGTTTTGAAGCATTCCATCGTGGCCCTGGCAGGGTATCAGAGGTAATTCCAATGTTTTTGGGTTATAAGTCAGAGGGACATATTTATCACAGATAATGTTAATACTAGCTAGATGAGAAGTGTTTCTTCACCTTTTAGGAGTTTTTTGTTTTGTTTTGTGTTGTCTCTTTTGAGACAGAGTCTCGCTCTCTCCCCCAGATTGGAGTGCAGTGGCGTGATCTCCGCTCATTGCAACCTCTGCCTCCCGGGTTCAAGTGATTCTCTTGCCTCAGCCTCCCAAGAAGCTGGGACTATAGACGCCCACCACCACACCTGGCTAATTTTTTGTATTTTTAGTAGAGAACATTACCATGTTAACCAGGATGGTCTTGATCTCCTGACCTCGTGATCCGCTCACCTCGGCCTCCCAGGTAATCCCTTGCTGGGATTACAGGTGTGAGCCACCGGGCCCAGCCAGGAGTTTTTGAAAAGCAACAAAGTGAGAATTAAAAAAAAAAACAAACTCTTAAGTATTTCAAAAGTTTCCTGTCCAAGTGACTCACAGTAGCTGGTTTATTTGCTCTGTTATACATAAGCATCAGTGTATAAATATGACTGGAGATCCTGTGTAAATGGTGACAAATCATATTTCCATTTGTAATATCTGCTTGGGGCGCAGTTGTTCACAGCTCCTGGGTATTTGGAAGTACTCTCCAGTTGTGTGATCATTCTCTTACAAGACAGCAAGTAATTGCAACTTGATTTTTGGATGAAATTTCTGAAAAGGAAACCTCTCTACACAATGTAATATTAAAAATAAGACCTTTAGTCAATGGTCCTTGACCCAGTTTTCCATTATTTTTATTTTAATGCATATGAAAATATAATCGAAAGCCCACTAGCAGTTGAGTAGTCTTGAGTGTGCTTGGCGTCTCTGCAGGGTTATCTTCATTTAAGCCGTAAATGTTGAACGTCAGTGCCTTTTGAGTCAGAAGTTAAGCTCACTTTATGCTGAAAATTTTAATTAATGCCATTTACCAGTGAATAGCCTGTATGCAAATTATTTTTCTTGAGTGACTAGACTTCTAATCCAGATATTAGAGAAATGTCTTCATGTTTTCAGCTCTGTGCATGGCCAGCTTGATGTTCAATGCACCAGTCCTCACAGGGAGCAATTGTATTATATAAGTATGAATTGTATTTAGAGCTGCCTGTGTTTGATTTTTGTGTTGGAATAAATACTACAGTTAAGAATCACGTCTTTGATATCTCCAGTACCTAGAATAAAATAGGTACTCAGATGAACGGATGTGAATGAATAAATAAGTATATTTTTTCATGAAAGTAATTCTCAAATTAAGAAAGAAATATTAATTATGAAAAAAACTGACTGGGCTCGGTGGCTCATTCCTGTAATCCCAGCACTTTGGGAGACCGAGGTGGGCGGATCACCTGAGGTTGGGAATTTGAGACCAGCCTGACCAACATGGAGAAACCCGGTCTCTTCTAAAAATGCAAAATTAGCTGAGCATGGTGGTGCATGCCTGTAATCCCAGCTACTTGGGAGGCTGAGGCAGGAGAATCACTTGAACCTGGGAGGCGGAGGTTGCAGTGAGCTGAGATTGCGCCATTGCACTGCAACCTGAGCAACAAGAGCGAAACTCCATCTCAAAAAAAAAAAGAAAAAAAAAAAAAAAAAAAAAACTATAGTTACTAGCCAGTACCCTTCATAGATAGGGAATCCTAAGTGTATTATTATTATTATTATCATTATTATTATTATTAGTATTATTGTTATTTTTGAGATGGAGTTTCGCTCTTGTTGCCGAGGCTAGAGTGCAATGGTGCGAACTCGGTTCACAGCATCCTTCGCCTCCCAGGTTCAGGTGATTCTCTTGCCTCAACCTCCCAAGTAGCTGGGGTTACAGGTGCTCACCGCCATGCCCGGCTAATTTTTGTATTTTTAGTAGAGACAGGGTTTCACCATGTTGGCCAGGCTGGTCTCCAACGCCCGGCCTCAGGTGATCCACCTGCCTCGGCCTCCCAAAGTGCTAGAATTACAGGCATGAGCCACCTTACTACCTATTATTTTTACCATATGAACTGTGAAAATAAGATACTAGAGATCTCAAAGTCTAGAAGTCTAGACCTGGGCACTTGGCCAGAAGCTGGGGACTATAGGGAGAGGAAGAGAAGTTTTTGGGTTTTGTGTAACAATACTGAGTCCCTATCTTCCCCACCCTGCCCTGGTACTAGTAATTTTCTAGTTTACCTTTCAAATGATCCCGGGGAAAAATAAATTGCAAGAATATGAATTCTTTCCTGGAAGATACTGATTCATGGTTAGCAATGAAGAAGGAAATATCATTCTGGTAATCTTCACTAGTGTGTTGTAAACATCCTAATTTCTCGACGCTAAGCATAGGTTAGATTTAGGAGAGCCCTTGGTGTTTTATTTACCTCTTTAGGTGCTAACTCTAGCGGATATAAGTTGGCTTAGGCAACACTATTTTAAAAATTTTTTCTGGTATGAAGACTTGATGGTTAAAGATGTATTTTTGTCATCAGAATCTTGCTTTGCATTATATTATTAGCAGCCACCGATATTCCACTTATGCTGTGTTCAAGAAGGGATGCTTTGGATAGCTGTCAGCTCTGATGGGTGACCTTGTGTGTTTCTCACAGGAGCCGAGGTCCAAGGAGGGCAGTGACTACTTTGACAGTCGCTCTGATGGACTGAATACAGATGTGCAGGGGCCCTCCCAGGCGTCTGCTTTTCTGTGGTCAGGGGGTTCTGCTCAGATCCTGTCTCAGAGAAGTGAATCCACGCATGCAATTGGCAGCGATCCCCTCCGACAGAACATTTATGAGAATTTCATGCGAGAGTTGGAAATGAGCAGGACCAACACTGAGAACATAGAAACGTCTACAGAAACCGCCGAGTCCAGCAGCGAGTCGCTCAGCTCTCTGGAACAGCTGGATCTGCTCTTTGAGAAGGAACAGGGGGTGGTCCGGAAAGCTGGGTGGCTCTTCTTCAAGCCCCTGGTCACTGTGCAGAAGGAAAGGAAGCTCGAGCTGGTGGCACGAAGGAAATGGAAACAGTACTGGGTAACGCTGAAAGGTGAGTGCACTGTCACCTGCTGAGGCCACTGGGAATCGTTTCCTCCAGCCACGTTCTTTCCCAGGAAGTGCCAAGAGTCTAGCATTGATGTGAGTTCACATGAGGGGTTTGACAGCGGATCCATGGCCTGCCTTACTGCAGATACTTTCTCACACCTGTGAAATAGGTTTTACCTACTATTCACGTGCATTATGCAGTTCAATAAATAATTATTGGATTTTTTACTTATTTTTATTCTTTTTGAGACAGAGTCTTGCTTTGTTGCCCAGGCTGGAGTGCAATGGCGCGATCTCAGCTCACTGCAAACTCTGCCTCCCAGGCTGAAGCAATTCTCGTGCCTCAGATTGTTACAAGTAGCTGGAATTACAGGTGTGCGCCACCACACCTGGCTAATTTTTGTCTAATTTTTAGTAGAGACGGGGATTCATCATGTTGACCAGGCTACTCTCATAACTCCTGACCTTAAGCAGTTTGTTCACCTTGGCCTCCCAAAGTGCTGGGATTACAGGCACGAGCCACCGCACCCGGCCTCATGTAATGATTGGATTTAATACTTATTGCTTATTTTATAGGTATGCCTGTACTGTCTGTGATAGTTTTGCTGGATTTGGAGAAAAAAAAGTAAATAACCAAAGGTAGTTTAGTTATTTGGAAGGCAGCTTCTGAGTTTCACATTCTGTACATGTTCAGGACTCCAAAGAGGTTTTCTTTCCAGCTTGTGCAACTAAGAATATCATCTGGATTATTGATTTGTCATTCCAGCTTTATGAACAAAGCCTACTTGTTGTCGTCACTAACAAGTGCAGCTGTCTTTTTTTAAAAATTATACTTTAAGTTCTAGGGCACATGTGCACAATGTGCATGCAGGTTTGTTACATAGGTATACGTGTGCCATGTTGGTTTGCTGCACGCATCAATTCGTCATTTACATTAGGTATTTCTCCTAATGCTATCCCTACCCCAGCCCCCCACCTCCTGACAGGCCCCGGTGTGTGATGTTCCCCTTCCTGTGTCCAAGTGTTCTCTTTGTTCAGTTCCCACCTATGAGTGAGAACATGCGGTGTTTGGTTTTCTGTCCTTGTGTTAGTTTGCCGAGATTGATGGTTTCCAGCTTCATCCATGTCCCTGCAAAGGACATGAACTCATCCTTTTTTATGGCTGCATAGTATTCCATGGTGTATATGTGCCACGTTTTCTTAATCCAGTCTGTCATTGATGAACCAGCTGTCTTTTTTTAAACATAAAGACAATAGGAGTAAGAATTTGTTTTGTTGAGATGAGGAACGTTTTTTTATAAGCATTGCCATTTAAAAACTATAATTGCCTTGTATAGATTTGAAGAAATCTAAATGTCTTGTGAGGAAGCAAGAAGCTCCAAATCTGTACAGCGTTGATTTATGCAGATGCACACAGAGCTGCCTCGCAGCCTCTGGCATTCTGCACAGCCCCCTGGGACTCTTTGTCAGAGGAGCTGAGTGTGTTGTTCAAAAGCCAAACCTCATCGTCAAGTGATGCCCTTCCCTGTCACAGGAGAGAGCAGAAACATCTGCAAATACTACGTGTGCAATGCCCGGTGCCCTCTCAATTACCGCTTTCTAGCTTTTCTTTGCCCCTTATTGAACAGTTGGAGCCCTGCTCCCCCAACCGTGGAGGGCAGGCATCATGCCTTGGTTACCACAAGCCCCTCTGGTACCTTTGGTAAAAGGGGCAATTGCAAAGGTGTTTCATGTCCAAGTGATACCTTTTCCTAGCAGGCCGGTAGGTGTACAAAGCCCAGGGGCCCAGCATCCCTCACATACTGCAGTCCTCTTTTCCATCCCTAGATTTGGATGCTTGTAGACATTGTGGCTGGCTGAGGAAGGTAAAGAACGTCCCCAGTTTTTCCATACTGGACCGCAGATTTCTGTATTGAATGACAGAAACGATTTGGAAAGATGAAATAATGGGTTGAATCTGGCAGGATTAAAATTTAAAGAGATAAGAAAGTTCTGCTTTAAGGTTTAGAAGTCAGATAGCTACCCAAGGACAGGATAGGGAAATGAGGCTGCAAACTGTTATGAGTGAGGCCAGGCGCGGTGGCTCATACCTATAATCCCAGCACTTTGGGAGGCCGAGGCGGGTGGATCACCTGAAGTTAGGATGGTTTGAGACCAGCCTGGCCAACATGGTGAAACCCCATCTCTACTAAAAATACAATAATTAGCCTGGCATGATGGCAGGTGCCTGTAATCCCAGCTACCCAGGAGGCTGAGGCTGCAGAATCGCTTGAACCTGGGAGGCGGAGGTTGCAGAGAGCCGAGATCATGCCACTGCACTCCAGCCTGGGCGACAAGAGTGAAACTCCATCTCAAAAACAAACAAACAAAAAACCAAAACAAGTATTATGAGTGAAAAAGATATCGGGGTTTAATGTGTAGGCCATGTGTTTCCAAGGTGATGTGGCTGAAAAAGTAAATGTGATTTCAAAGAGCAAATATGATCTTTAGCTACCTTATTAGAGATGCACCGTGATCATCAGCTACCTCGTTAGAGATGCTATATCTCTTGCAAAGGAGATGACAGTCTCTTCTTTCTTTGCCCTAGTCAGAGCTGGTCGTTTCCCTCCTTGTGGGCACAATATTGCAAGAGATTTGTTAGGAAATGGGAAATTGATTCTTGAGAGGTTCTCCCGGAGGAGCCCTAAATGGGGAGAGTGAACATGTTCCCTCGAAGGGTGAACATCTGAGACTGTCTGTGAATCATAGTCGGAAGCTGCCTCCTAGTCACATGATATGAGTAGTTAGAACGGATGCACGTTACCCCATCATGTGTCATGTATCCACTTTTTAAATGTAAAATTTGTTTCTTAAAATTAATTCTTTGAGAATTTCTTCCCTGCCTGTCTATGGATTTAAAAACCCCCAGTATACATCATCCCGGTGGTAGGGGGCTGGACTGGGGGCCAGGGTGACTGTGTGTGTGTGTGTATGTGTGTGTGTGTGTGTGTGTATGTGTGATGGGGAGAGAGAGAGAGAGAGAGAGAATATACCACTTTGAGAAGCAGGGCCATAGGTGACGACAAGGAGATTTAGAGCTGTGCCACATGGAGGAGGGCAGAAAGATCTAGGGATATTTAGCATGGTGGAAATAAGAACTGGGTGGGAGTGAACAGCAGTGTGTAGAAGAGACATTGACTTTATTCTGGGTGTGCAGAGGTTAGAATGGAACTAATAGATGGGAGACAGGCTGATTCTAAATGAATGTAACCACAGTGACAGCCATGGGCACATGGAGAGATACTCCCTTCTTGATTTCTCTGCTACTGACCACATTTGCCCAGAGCCAAACTGTTGCAGGCTTCTTGAGGGAAACTCAGGCAGATATCACTTAAGGACTGGAAGAGCTGATTGGAAGCTTCCTGTATTTTATCCCAAAAGATAGACCAGGAATTTCTGGCTACCAACTTCAGGGGTAGTGATGGACCTGAGTTGTCACTGAGCATTGCTAGATTTGTAGTCTTGGCTAGGCCCTGCTTTCCTAGTTTTTTGCTTGGGAAACACTTCAAGATCCATGGATAAAGGGTGCTTTGTAGTATAAATGTTATCAAGCACACATTTCTTCCTTTCCTTTGCAGCCAAGGCAAGACATGCGATAAAGATGTTTTCCCGCAGCATAACCTTTTCCATGTGGTTTTTTTCTACACCTCTTTCCTCTGGGAATTCTGTATGTTGAATTCTAATTTCTTGGCTTAGAATACAAGTTGTCATGTTTGGACTTCACTGTTTGGTTTAATCTTAGTGAAAAACACGTATATATGTATACACACACAGACATACATTTAAGCCTAATTTTAAATTTATCCTTAAAGTATCCATGTCAATAAATGGGAGACAGTTTTCTGGAGAGAGCCGTTATGAACAAGCCATCTGGTTACCTGCCTACCTGGAATGTGTAGGTATGCTAGGAACATAAATGTTTTTCAAGGCTTTAGAGGATGTAATAAATGTTTAACAAGGGTAATTCTGCTTTCCATTTGTCTTTTCCAATGAGTGGGTTTTCATGGAGTTCACTGGGGACTTCCTGGGCTGAAGAGTTGGCAAGGTCATTAAACACATCCCTCAAAATGTGCAACAGGCTGAGTGTCCGTGTCAGGAGAGGAGCTCATAAAATAATTTTAGGATACTGGTAATTCTGCCCTGAGATAGGCCAGCAGCAGGGAGGGGAGGTTAAGAGGGTGTCATAGAAAAGGTGCATTTGAGGGAAAACCAAGCCTAATTGTCCTCCTTCCCCTGGGTGAGATTTCTACTAATATTACCTCTCGATTCCTGTACTGCCATTGCTACACCAATCTGTTTTCTCTTTCTGCTACCATAGCAAGAACGTCCAGTGTCAATGACCCTTCGAAGCCAAGACCAGTGCTTGGTAGGGACCAGGCAGTGCTGCGGGCCCCCAGCACCAGGGTGAATGGCAGAGGCTTCACTCACATGGATGCAGCTTTCCACTGGCCCCGGTGCCCCCTTAGAGGTGCACAGTCCCATGAAGTTGAACTTGGTGTCATAGAGTTAAGATTGATTTCCTGATTTTTAAATTCGATAGCCACCAAATTCTGCCTATTGTTTTACTTCCTGGCCTGGCTCTAATGTGAAATGTCCTGTTTTGGTTTCATGCCTCCAAGTTCGTAGTCTGTTATCCACGGCTTGTTAGGTTTGGTGACATTTTGGCATCGGCCCAAGGTTTGCATTCATTTCCTCTAGATGCCACGATTTAAACCATGGCTGTTGGGGTTCCAGTGTTAGGGAAGCTGGGAAGTGAACGTGAACCCATCGGAAAGAATTTGGACGTGGATGCAGCTGGAGCTGCTCTGCACCTTTGCCCTGGTCCTCGGGCCCCGGGTCATGGCTTGTAGCATGTGCAACGGTAGCATCGGATGGCCTTACTTGATGGGAAGACGTGGTTTATTGTGTAACTGCTGCATCAGTGGCTGGAAAAAGATACTAGCCAGGACTGCAAGAAGCAGCTCTGGCTATAAACCTCTTGCTACTTTCCCTGGTTTGTAATATTTGAGTTCCGTCAGCCTGTTAGTTTGGATGAGTTTTATTTGTGGGGAGGAGTAAATGCACAGTTTCTTGAGATCATAAAGTACCATGGAGGGAGAAAGTACTGTTTCCGAAGTCCAAGTTTGGAGCAGGCATCTTTCTTGGCTTCTGTGTGCCGTTATCAGTTCTATTGTATAAACTTGTTTGTTCATATCAAGACTTATTTTTAAAGGAAGTAATGAAATTGGAGAGACTGAAATCGTTTTTAAAACGTGTGAACTTCTATGAATGAGGATGCAAACACAGTAGGATAAAGTACCGTGAAGTGGAGCCCAGGCATTTGTTTACAGTGAAGGCAGGCTGGTGTTTCTTTCCTGTCAATGCGAAAGGCACTTGCGAAGCACCCGGATGGTGGTCATTGTTATTTGTATGCTGGAGGTTGGCACATGAGAAGTAGTCAAAAAAGTTTATTGGATACAGATTTGAGGGGATAGTTAACCTATACAAGAGGACACATTTGTGAGCATTTTAGAAGCATTAATTTGCTTAAAAATTGTGTCTAATAATTATGCAATTTCTAATTAATGAAACAAACTCATAATAACTTCTACCTGCAATACTTTGTTAGCTCGTGAGGGGAAAAATAAGCACTTAAAAGCATAGGTTGCAGTATGTTTAGAGTCATGTTTGAAAATTCAGGCACATTTAGTTTCACTTTTCTGCCTTAGTGTAAGTCATGTTTTCTATTAGTTTCACTTTTCTCCCTTAGCCTAAGTAATGTTTTCTATCACTATGAGATAAAAGGCAATACTAAAAATTAAGTTATTTTACATCGCATTTGGAGAACAAAGTGGCTACTTTCTCGTAAATGGCAAAGACCCTGAGGTATGTTCAGTTTCTTGTTCCCATTGATGGTCAGTGGAGTGAGTGAGTATGGGATTTTCTTTGGCCTCTCACATTGAGATTCTCTAAATAATGTGGTGGTGTGCTTAAGGACGAGGGCTTTGGGGCCAGAGGGTCTGAGTTCACATCCCTGCTGCTCCACGGGGCAGCGGTGGGACCCTTGCAAGTAAATCGATCTCTCGGTTTTCTCACTTTTAGTGTGAAAGGAAAATAAAACCTGGGGACCCCAATTCATGATGCCAGAAGGAAAAAAAAAAATTAAGCCGAAAGCTGAGTCATGCGAGATGCTGCCTTTCCATTTCTTTCTAAGCAGGAGCTACAGATAAAAGGCTAAATATCCCCACAGGTAGCTAGCTACCCTGTGTTCACCTTATCTCATGTGAAGTGCTGATTCACCACCAAGTGCTGGATGATTACGTCATTGACAGTTTCCCTGCCTGCTCCTTTTCCCTTGCAGCAGGTGGATTACCACGCTCTCCCTCTTTCCCCTCCAGCCCACTTTTAATTTTTAAACATTGAGGCCCTCAACATCATCTTTGAAGAAAGGCACAGACCACAGACTGTTTCTGTGATTCTGTGTTCTCTTCCTCCGGACATGTCCATAACTTTGGCAAAATAAACTTCTCAATGGATCAAGACCTGTCCTAGTTACTTTTTGGGTTACAGTAGAATGGGCTAAATAACCCTGACCACCTTCGGGCCTCTATGGGGATTAAATAAGCCAGTGCATGTGGAGTACTTACAAGCGTTAAGCAACAACTTATTATTTGGTATTGTTATTACTGATATTACATTTACAAAGACATCTCATTTTCGTTGAAGTTCATTCTGATACAACTAGGTATACTTCAGATGCCACTTTTCCTTGTTTACCATGTTTCTGTCACATGCTTGTGTCACTCAGGTGTTTTTAAAAGTGTATCACTTTCCTTCCCAGTCCTTTCCTACATCTCCAGAGATGACCAGGATGTGATTTTGCTTCTCTGTTTCACAGGATGCACGCTGCTGTTTTATGAGACCTATGGGAAGAATTCCATGGATCAGAGCAGTGCCCCTCGGTGTGCTCTGTTCGCAGAAGACAGCATAGTGCAGTCTGTTCCAGAACATCCCAAGAAAGAAAACGTGTTCTGCCTCAGCAACTCCTTTGGAGACGTCTACCTTTTCCAGGTACTGCCGGTGCTTTGTAAGTGGAGGTAATAGTTTATGTACTGCTAGAATAAGAAGGAACAGAAAAGGCAAAACTTGGAAATGAAATTGAATACATGCCTAGTCAGGTTTTGGATTTGGCCTTAAGCAACAGTTGTTGGCCTCCCCTGACTGCCAAGGGCCCTGGGCCATCACCAATCCAGTCATTCATCCAGAGGGCACTTTTCAGGTGCCTCTGAAGTCCCAGGCTGTGGCCCATGAGATGCTCTTTGGCACACAAAGGGAAAAAAAATCATGATCCCTGTTCTGGAGTAGCTTGCGATCTAGTGAGTGCAATAGTGAAGATTCCCAGATTTGGGGCTTTTAAAATGAAGCTTGGAGAATATTGATGGGAGGGGCTTGGGCTCTTCCCACGAATCTCAGTGGATGTCAGAGGTTTTCAGGAAAACTCTCATAGACAAATGCTGTGAGGTCTCAGTTCCCTGTGGAAGTGGTCTTAGGATCTTAAGATTCAGGTTATCTACTGTTAGAATTTTCAGTGACTTTCTAGCCAATGAGATGTTGGGGAACATGGTGGTCCTGAGCCATCGGTATTGGGGATCAGGCTTGGGTTTGAATCCTGGCACCTTTGTTAGCATTGAGTTTGTAAGTGATCTTGGTGCCCATACCAGACTTCTCTGAGCTTTGGGCCCTTCAACCAGTGGCTTACACGAATACCTTAAGAGTAAATAACATCATGTGTGTGTGTTAAATGCTGAATAAATTCTAACTTGGTGATTAATATTAACTCAGAAGAGGTGAGAGTGAGAGCTGGGAAGTGAAGTCTACTTCTTAAATGCCCCCCGTCTAAACCCAGCACTTGACATACACACAGTGTTGGCTGTAGGTTACATCTGACTGGAAGTTTCATGGAAAATCTCGTAAAGCCTGGGTTTAGATCTCTCACAAAGATGGTCGTGGGTGCCCTCAGAAGCCCTGCAGTGTAACAGTGTTCTCTAGGCTGACTTTGGGAGTCTAGAATGCTCTGAAGTGCTCCCTGCTGGGACCAGCACTGGGTAAGCTCCCTGGGCCTTTAGTTGTACTGCTGTTCCAACTTGACTTAGCTTACTAGAGCCAGGGCCTGAGATTTGATTTTCCTTTTCTTAACAGAAAGGTTGCTTAAAAACTTCTATGATGCTTTAAAGCAAAGTAATGAATTTATGTTAGTCTGAATTGTAGGGAAGGTAAAAAAAACAAACAACAACAAGAACAAAACCTTAGGTTAAATCTGCATGGACTTCTTAGGGGTAAGTGTGAAATGAATGTTTTATTTTGTGATTCAGGTAAAACATCCTTAGTTTTCAGAGTTTTCCTGCCTGTGATCCCAGCACTTTGGAGGCTGAGGCAGGGGGAGGGCTTGAGGACAGGAGTTCGAAATCAGCTTGGTCAACATAGTGAGACCCCATCTCTATGAAAGAAAAATAAAAAAATTAGCCAGGCATGGTGGTATGTACCTCTGGTCCCAGCTACTTGGGAGGCTGAGGCTTGAGGATCATTCGAGCTCAGGAGGTCAAGGTTGCAGGGAGCTATGATTGTGCCACTGCACTCCAGCCCAGGCGACAGAGACCCTGTCTTAGCAGCAACAACAACAACAAAGTTTTCCCAGGTGTTCTGTTTTGTGATCCCAGAGGCCACTTGAGGTTTGACCCTGTGACTCGAATGTGTGTGGTTATTTCTGGACATCAAGAGAAATGAAAGTACTTTTCAGCCTGCTTAGAATAATACCCATTTGCCCACTGTGCTTTATTCAAACTTTGCTTATTGTTTTTAAAATATTTTTCTTTTAAAAAATGTATGGCCGGGCGCGGTGGCTCAAGCCTGTAATCCTAGCACTTTGGGAGGCCGAGACGGGCGGATCACGAGGTCAGAAGATCGAGACCATCCTGGCTAGCATGGTGAAACCCCGTCTCTACTAAAAAATACAAAAAACTAGCCGGGCGAGGTGGCGGGCGCCTGTAGTCCCAGCTACTCGGGAGGCTGAGGCAGGAGAATGGCGTAAACCCGGGAGGCGGAGCTTGCAGTGAGCTGAGATCCGGCCACTGCACTCCCGCCTGGGCGACAGAGCGAGACTCCGTCTCAAAAAAAAAAAAAAAAAAAAAAAAAAAAAGTATTATTATTATTATTATTATTTGAGATGGAATCTTGGTCTGTTGGCCAGGCTGGAGTACAGTGGTGTGATCTCAGCTCACTGCAACCTCCACCTCCCAGGTTCAAGCGATTCTTGAATTCCTGCCTCAGTTTCCCAAGTAGCTGGGATTACAGGTGCCTGCGACCATGCCTGGCTAATTTTTTTTTTTTTATTATTTTTTATGGAGACTGTGTTTCACCATGTTGGCCAGGCTGGTTTCGAACTCCTGACCTCAAGTGACCTGCTCACCTTGGCTTTCCAAAAAGTGCTAGGATTACAGGTGTGAGCCACCACACCTGTCCTATTATTATTTTTTAATTGACTTGGGGACTTACTGTATTCCCCAGGCTGGTTTTGAACTCCTGGGCTCAAAAGTCCTGGGATTACAGGCATGAGCCACTGTGCCCAGCCAAAAATAAAATACTTTTCTCTTATAAAAATAGTATATGGTCTTTGTGTTAGAAGTCACTGAAAAGTACAGAAAGGAAAAACCTTCATATATTCAAAGACAATAGTGTTATTTTGTTTCCCCCCAGTATACGTTTATGTACATTCTTTTTTTTTTTTTTTTTGTATTGAGGCCATCCTGTAGATGTAATTTTATATCCAGTTTTCAAAATTTCATATTCTAGTCCTAATGCTTACTCATTCTGTTAAAATTCTGAAGACAAGCATCCATTTATTTATTTATTTATTTATTTTTGAGACGGAGTCTTGCTCTGTCGCCCAGTCTGGAGTGCAGTGGCGCAATCTCAGCTCACTGCAGTCTCCACCTCCTGGGCTCAAGTGATTCTCCTGTCTCAGCCTCCCGAGTAGCTAGGATTTCAGGCATGCACCACCACACCCGGCTAATTTTTCTATTTTATTTATTTGTTTATTTTTGAGACAGAGTCTCGCTGTATCACCCAGGCTGGAGTGCAGTAGCATGATTTCGGCTCACTGCAACCTCTGCCTCCCAGCTCAAAGTGATTCTCATGTCTCAGCCTCCCAAGTAGCTGGGATTACAGGCATGTGCCACCACACCCAGCTAATTTTTGTATTTTAGTAGAGATGTGGTTTCACCTTGTTGGCCAGGCTGGTCTCAAACACCTGACCTCAGGTGATCCACCCACCTTGGCCTCCCAGGTGCTGGGATTACAGGCATGAGCCACCACGCCCGGCCAAGCATCCTTTTAGAGAGTGGCGTAATGTGTCATGAGTGTGTCTACCCTGTTGTTCTTATCACTGCTGTGTGGTTGGCTAGCGCTTGTTTCTGGTTTTAGTTCCTGTCGTATTCAGAGCTCCATGATGCTTTCTGCTCTGCTCCTAATGTTCTCTGAGTCCCTCTGAACCTGAGTTGAATGGTTGAATGTGTTTTTGAAATTAAGCAACTTGTATGCAGTGCAAGTACTTCTTGGATTTTGCACGTCTAAGCCCAGCCTGCCATTTTGGAGAGCACTTTAGTGGTAAAATAATTTGAAACAGGCTTTCTCCCTCCCTGTGTGTAGGCCACCAGCCAGACAGATCTAGAAAACTGGGTCACCGCCGTACACTCTGCTTGTGCATCCCTTTTTGCAAAGAAGCATGGGAAAGAGGACACACTGCGGCTACTGAAGAACCAGACCAAAAACCTGCTTCAGAAGATAGACATGGACAGCAAGATGAAGAAGATGGCAGAGCTGCAGCTGTCCATTGTCAGCGACCCAAAGAACAGGAAAGCCATAGAGAACCAGGTACTGTTTGTCTGCTCCTGAGTTTTCTTCTGTTGCTCACGTCACTTGTGCAGTGACTGAACGCAGGCTCTCATCTTGGTGGTATTTCTTGGCTCACATCTTGGTGGTATTTCTTACACCCTGGGGGAAGTAGTTTCTGTGGCTTTTCATTTTAGGTACCTAATGTTTGCTGTTTTGTGACATGGGTGGTACGATATGCTTTACAACCTTTGGCGGCTCTATGTATATCCTGAAATACTTTGTGACCCAAACTTAATTCCTAATTTGAATAGTGCCTTCTGGCCTTGATGATTCACTCATATATTGTCATTTTCTGAACAAAATCCATAGAATAAAACCACTAGAAGATTAGACAGGCAAGAGTCTAATACAATAGCTTTGGAAAATGTGATATGGTATAACAGCTGTTTCTGTGTCTGTGGATTGCAAGAAAACAGTAATTTTTCTGTTTATAACAGAGAAGCAGCTAACGAAATGCTTTCTTTTCTCTGCTCTGGTTCCATATTCTTTTAATAAATGGCTGGTTCCTATGGCATTTGCATTTTAGAGAAGGGGAAGCAGTTTGAACATTTTTATTTCCATTTGCTCAGACAACCTCAACACTTAGACAAGTGTTAGTGGAATTTCGAGCATCCTTATCTTAAGTCAGGTTTCCTAGGAGACAGACTTTGATAGAGATTTAGACGTGACAAGTTTTACTGGGAATGCCCTCAGGGACAATGCCAGCCTGGAGTGAGGGAGCAAGATCTGGGAGGGACAAGTTGCATTGTGATGCAGCTTGTCCCACAGCGAGCTGTGGAGCTGGGAGGGCCCTTCAGAGTTCTGTATGGAGGCAAGGTGGCCGGCCTTTGTCCCCTCAGGCCAGCAGGGCAAGGCAGCTCTCTTCAGTAGAGGTCAGTTACCACGAGGGGATCTGTGTGTGAGCTGGGAGAAGGAAAGGAATCCTTCTGTCTTGAAGTGGGGATCTGGGTGAGTCGCTATAGAATCCACTACAGCGCCCTCCAAAACCAGTTGTCAAATGACCTGGGAACTTGAATGAGGAATGGGATGAAGATCGATAATGAGCAGGTTCTTGCATTTTTCTTCCTTTAGTTACTTGTTATTACAGAGAAACCAGATTCTTTAGAAAAAAAAATTTCATGGTAACACAACAATTTACATATGGTGACTTATTAGAAAGGAATTTTACATATGGTGTTTTATTTAAATTGCAAATTAAATCATACCTCTGTTTATATCTGAATGTTTAACCTTGTTTGGAAATTTTTTCATCTGTGTATATATGAAGAATTCAGCCTGAATTCTGGACGTGGTGGCAGACACCTATAATTCCAGCTGGGCGCAGTGACTGACGCCTGTAATCCCAGCACTTTGGGAGACCGAGGTGGGCAGATCACCTGAGGTCAGGAGTTTGAGACCAGCCTGGCCAACATGACAAAACCCCATCTCTACTAAAAATACAAAAATTATCTAGGCTTGGTGACGGGCACCTGTAATTCCAGCTACTCTGGAAGCTGAGGCAGGAGAATCGCTTGAACCTGGGAAGGAGAGGTTGCAGTGAGCTGAGACTGTGCATTGCACTCTAGCCTAGGGAACAGAGTGAGACTCTGTCTAAAAAAATAGAAAAGAATTCAGCATGAGTAGGAAAAAATTTCTGGCTAAAAATAGGAAACGGATTAAAGGCATGCATTCATTGATACACCGAGAATTTGGAATAAAGTATCAATTGGCAATAGCAAAATAACCAAATAATTCTGACCTCTGCCCCTGATTAATCTTCTGACTCTATCTACCTTTGCTTCTCCTTTTCTCATATCTCATGTTGCCTTTCTCCCATCTCAGTTCTTTTTCTCTTGCTTATTTTCCCATCTGCAGATACTGGTGTACCTAATAGATGCATCTGGCTTAAAGAAATAAAAATAATTATAAAACAGGGACCCAGTTTCTAAGAAGTTATAATTTAGTTAGAGAGCAAACCTTGTGAACATGAAACTAAAGGACCTTCTAAAATGATCTAAGTTAGGTGACAGCTGGTATAGTCATCAAATATGATGGGAGATGAGAGGGTTGAGGTTCTATTGTGATCTTGAGGAAATGAAGACTTCCTGGAAGAATATGGTGTTAAAAAGTTGTTAAGAGGCCGGGCGTGGTGGCTCACGCCTGTAATCCCAGCACTTTGGGAGGCCGAGCTGGGCGGATCATGAGGTCAGGAGATCGAGACCATCCTGGCTAACACAGTGAAACTCCATCTCTACTAAAAATACAAAAAAAAAATTAGCCAGGTGTGGTGGCAGGCGCCTGTGGTCCCAGTTATTCGGGAGGCTGAGGCAGGAGAATGGTGTGAACCCGGGAGGTGGAGCTTGCAGTGAGCCGAGATCGCGCCACTGCACTCCAGCCTGGGCGACAGACAGGGACTCCGCCTCAAAAAAAAAAAAAAAAAAAAAAGTTGTTGAGAGATGTGAAGGATTTCCAGGCTGGGAGGGGGTTGGGCAAGCATGGAGAGACAACTGGAAGTGACTGAGTGGTGGCCTGGGGCTCTGGAGCACCCTGGAGTTAAAGGTTTGGGAAGTGATGAGAGTTGGCGGTTAGGTTGGACAGGCAATGCAGCTTTTTCAGTCTGTGTCTTAGTCTGGAAGAAAATACTTTAAACTGGGTGGTTTATAAACAAGAGCAATTTATTTCTCAGAGTTCTGAAGGCTGAGAAGTCCAAGATCAAGACGCCTGCAGATTCAGTGTCTGGTGAGGCCCTGCTTTCTGGTTTCTAGAAGCATCTTCTTACCATATTCTAGCATCTTCTTACCGTATTCTAGCATCTTCTTACCGTATTCTAGCATCTTCTTACCGTATTCTAGCATGACATGAGAGGCAAGGGGTCTTTCCGGGCCGCCTTTTATAAGGCCACTCATCCTCTTCATGAGGGCTCTGCCGTTATGACTGTCCTGTGCAGTGGATTAAGCAGCCAAGGATGAAAGATGCTGTAACTTAATGCTTGAATCACACGGTTTATTGGCACACAGACAATTCTTAACAAATATAGGTATTTTATCCCCATTCTCGCTACACACAACTCTCGTTTTTCACCTGTTAGGAACAGGTCGGGGATCTTACATGAATAGGCACAGGATTGGTCACAGAAGTCCTCAGGCATCTGGGAATAGCTTCCTCTGGCATCAAGGCTGGAACGTTGAGGCTGAAGCGTTCAGTCGAGGAGATGGCAAGCCTAACTCCGGGTCCCTTTCTGAGTGGCAGCGTCTCATCCTCATGAGTCTGTGTCTCAGCAGAGCAGGTCGAGCTGCCTGAGGGCTTCTCCTTTTATAGTCCCTGTACGGGGATCCGTCTGTGTCTGGTTATCTTGAAGGTTGGTGCGCCCTAGCATGTGATGCTGTCCCAAATTGGAATATCCCCACACAGTTGGTCTAAACAGATTTGGACATTCTGGGCGTTTTGTCAGACATCTGCACTCACACACTAACTATGATAACATATTCACACTACACCCATAAATCGCACTCCAAACAATGACCTAATCACTGCCCCTTTTAAAAAGGCCCCACTTCCTAATACCATCACCTAAAGCATTAAGATTTCAATGTATGTATTTTTTTTGGAGGGACACATTCAGCCCATAGTGGTCCTGTAGGCAAGGCTCAGATGGTAAGGTTTATTTTATACTCTGCATTCAAGGGGGCAATACAAGTTTTTAAGCTGAGGACAAAGCATGATGACATAGTGTCTTTGGAAGATTAATCAGGCAGCAGTTTAGAGGACAGAGTGGGGCAAAAGGTGTCAAGCAGTGGAGTGGCACTGTGCTGGCTGCGTAGATACAAGGGCTTGATCCCAAGTGACACAAGTTCAACAGTTTACATGGAAAATGTGTAACAGGGTGTATGATTTTCTGTAATTCTATAGAATCTTTTTTTTTTCTTTTTCTTTTTTTTTTTTTTGAGATAGAGTTTTGTTCTTGTTGCCCAGGCTGGATTGCAATGGTATGATCTCGGCTCACCACAACCTCCGTCTCCTGGGTTCAAGCGATTCCCGTGCCTCAGCCTCCCGAGTAGCTGGGATTACAGGCACCCGCCACCACGCCTAGCCCAATTTTGTAGTTTTAGTAGAGGCAGGGTTTCACCATGTTGGTCAGGCTGGTCTCGAACTCCTGACCTTAGGTGATCCACCTGCCTCAGCCTAAAGTGCTGGGATTACAGACGTGAGCCACCACGCCCAGCCTCAATTTTATAGAATCTTAAAGACAGTAACTTACGCCCCTGAGTGGAACTGTTGCTCAACCAGGATATGCCATTTAAACTCCAAAGTACAAAATAGTTTTAATGAGGAAGCCAAAACTGCCAAGAAGAATGCAGGAGGTGGAAGGCTTTGGGATCCGACAAGAACACAGCTGCTGACATTGCTGAGGGAGAGCTGCCCCCATGAGCCCAGCTTGCATCCTCTCAGGCCCTGCCTGCCCCTCTTAAGGGGCCTCACCCTGTTCACAGCTAGGGGGCGTTCAGCTCCCGAGGCAGTGCAGCTGTGCCCGCAGGGTGGGAGGCCATGTGGAGGTGATGGGACAGATCAAAGAGCCTGAAGGAGACACGGTTATCCCAGAGTTTTCTTTGTACCATGTCTTACCCATGGTGCTGATTTTCCAGGATCCAGCAGCCACAGCCTGTTTACCCTGAGATGAGACTTGTGGATTCGAGTGTCTCAGAGTGTTCAGAGCACCCCAGTCAAAAATCTCATCCTGACCGTAATTGTAGTCCTGTCGAAGGGATGCCCAGCTTGGAGTTTTCAGGTCTTTGCGTAGGTCAGATGTTTAGGGCTAGGGAGAAAAAAGGGACATTTGACAACACTGAGAGGCTCCTGGCCTGTTGTGTGTGTGGTGGTGGTGGGTGGGAGTTTCTTTGTGGCCACAAGGAGTCTAAGCAAACATTTTTTTTTTTTAATTTAAATTTTCATTAACTGTAATTGTATTCCCTTGTCCATAGTTTGTAAATGTTTAATTGATG